GAACTCTCTCGGTCTGTCCCCATCAATATTCTTCTCACAGAAGGGCTGCATATCCTAAACCTCCCCAAACAGCACCACCAACTACAGACCACGTGTTCAGATACCTGAGCCTATGGGGGGCATTTCTCATTGAAGCCATTACAGTCCCCATAAAAGGGGTGCTATTTGATGATGAGAACATAAACTGGAATGCTTCTTTATATGTACCCACAGTGGGTGTTCAGAGGGGAGCAGACTATTTTCCCAGAGTATGGGTTACTGTAATGGTTATTAAACAAACTAACAAAAAAAAAGTACCTGAGACTTTTTGGGAGACATTTAGCTTAATCCCATGGATAACTTAAAGGTATAATTTGCTTTCTCAAGTTTTCTTTAATAGGAACAGAAGGTCTGGTGACAAAATGCTTTCTCAGTGTGATTTCCTTTGCTTTTCCCATGGACAGTGTAGGGGGTAGCTGTTCTAGCTATGAGCTTGAAGCACTGCCCCTTGTGAGGTAGCAGGTAACTATTACACCTGCCCAGACCTTGAAGTACACGTCCCTGGGGCATGGCAACTAGGGACCCTTAAGACCTGGGATGCACGTATGCAGCTCTCTCTTTGCCTCCTCATGGTATTGGACGCTGAGATCTTGGACCAGGCAAATCAGAGTGGGACATGGCTCAGCTTTCCCCATGATAAATCTCCCATGGTAGTGAGTTAACCCCCAAATAAATTCCTTTGCTCATTAAATAGACTCCGTGGATTTCTCGAATTAGGACAGAGTGAAGGCTAGTCTTATCCATCAACCTCTTCTTTCCAGCTGAACCAGGCACCATGCCAGCAAAAGAGACAGGGGATGCTTTGGTGAATCACAGTCCTCTTCTTTGAATTCTGAACTGATAAGGCAGAAAAACAAGGCATTTGATGAAGATGCTGATATGATTATGGTGATAATGAATGCAGTGTTGGGGACCATGGGGCTGGGGGACCATGGGGCTGGGGGCAGGCTTCACAGAGGAGCTGGCTTTTAAACCAGACTACAGTGGAACTGTAGCAGAGGTTACATTTCAGACCTAAGGGACACAGTAAGAAGGTTCATGAAGGCAGAGCAGTGCACAGAATTTTGGATTCCATTCTAAGAAATGTATAGTGGTTGATCACTGAAGAATTTTGAGGTCAATTCATAACACCATCTTCTTTATGCATTAACAAGTCAAATCTGCAGCTATGGGGTTTAAAAACAGTAGCCACTAGTTGCATATGCTAATTAAACATTTGAAATGTAGGTAGCCTAAATTCAAATCTGCTATAAGAATAAAATATGCATTTGATTTTGAAGACTTGGTGCAAAATATGTAAAAATATCTCAACAATTTTGACGTTGGTCATAAGTGGAAATGCAGGTGTGTGACAAATTCAATGCAGTAAAATGTAAAATTAATTTCACCACAATTACTCATGAGGCTTGCATCTGGTTGCTGGTGCTGGTGCTGATGGTGTTGGTGGGGAGGCTGGCTCTGGGAAGGGAAGAATTGAAAATCAGGAAATGACAGGAAGGTACTGCAACTCTCAAATAAGTGATGGTATGAGTCAGAACCACCACAGTGTTTGATTCTGAGGATGAACAAGGGAGATGAGGTGAAGCCATTTTTAGTGGGTCATGTCAAGGTCTTTCCTAATGTGGGAAATAGAAAAGGGTAGGTGTTAAGGTTGCATGAGATGTTGCCAGGTGTTGGTAGGTCTTGATGAATGCAGTTTTAGCATAGGCATAGTCTTTGTTTTGAATGTGGTTCTTCCTGCCAAAACTCAGGGAAAGACGTAGTTCCTTAGTAGAGTGATCTTGGGATAGTGGTGCTGTTAGGCATACGCCTACTGCAGCCTTGAGAGACTTCTAGCTCCTGCAAGGACTAGGTTAATATTTGAGAACGTGTTTTGTTGTAAAGCCTGTAACCTCCTCTTCTGTGTCACTCAAATGTACTCTCACCTGTGACAGTAACGCTCTGACACACATGAGAACTTTACCACATGTGGTTGTCCAATCTCCCCTGTTTCTAGGGCTGTGAGCCAAAATCAGCATTTTTTTCTCTGTAATGTACTCATCCTTGAGTATTTTGTTATAGCAACAGAAAGTAACTATGACACACGTGCATACACTGTTCAGGTGTGAAGCTTGGGAGAGGAGTGGGTGGGGCTGAGGAGTTAGGAGTCAACAGGGAGAGGTAGTGACTGAAGGGCGGACCTGTACATTCAGGAGGGAGAGTTGATGAGAATTAAGGGTATGAGGGAAGATGGAACTCAGAATTCAAGAGGAGAGAGGAGAAGCTAATCGAGTGTTACTGAAGCCAGCCTGGGAGCATCTCGGATCCTAACATGTCTGTAAACAAGAGATGAGCGGTACTGGGAGATGGCACACACTAGGTGGTGTCTGTATGTGTAGGGGTCCCAAGTCACCTGAGATCAACATCAGGTGCAAAACCCCAGAAGGGAGCCGCTGGTGAAGAAGGCACCCACCGCAGGTGTGAGGGAGAATGCTTTCGGAGATATCTGGGCACTAGAGAAAGTAGGATGAATTCGGAGGGGCCGCTGGGGATTGAGCAAAATAATTTTTAGGCGAATGGAGAAAGGGAAGAATGAATGTAAAAGTAGGTAATAAGCCATGGGGAATCACAGGCGTAGATGCTCCTGATGGGAGAGGGAACCTCTCTTAGAGGTTCTGGGATTGCTTTCCCAGTGTGTATGTGGGGGGTGGGGAGTCGGGGGCACAGCGCGGAAACTGGCCTGCACCTCCCCGGTGGGCAGACTTGTATCCAGAGCCAAACTAACAGACCAGACCTCTTAAGTTATGGCATCTCTGCCTGGAACCGGATCAGAGGAGCTAAACCTTTCTCAGTACATTCCGGCTGCAGCTCCCGCCTTCTCCGGTAGGGGCGCTGGGCACCAGCGGATAGCCGGTTCCCTCCCAGCACCGACTCAGGCGCCCACCTGGGTCAGTAGCTTTGCAACTTTTCCCGCAGCAGTGTGCTGCCCTGGGTCTGAGAAAATCCACAAACGACAGGTCCACCTCATTCTGGGTGGGCATTGTCTCTGCCATCTTTCTCCGGCCTAGCCATCTCCTCCGCTCCCAATTTTCATTTTAGCTTTGGTGGGAAAGCAAGTTCAGACGGTGAGGGCTCCTGGGAATCCCTGGCTTTCCAACCCTTTAGCACAGGCCCAGAACCCAGGCGCCCTCGCTGCAAGCTGCAACCATCCCCACCTTTTCCAGGGCTTTCTCAGATGTCCTCCTTTTCTTTCGCACCATCCACTCCTCTATTCTCCTTTTCTGGATTTCCCCGTTTTGTTCTCACATCTCCAACCACAATTCCTCTTCATCGCAGGCTTTCACCTTCCACAAATAATCTTTTCTAATTCCTAAGCGGAAAGAGCAGCTTGGAATCTGTGTCCTTCTCCCAGCCGCCACCCTGTTCCTGTTCTATTAGTCCTTCCAGCCCCCCACCCACCATGCCGCACTTTCAATCTCCAGATACCCCGGGTGCTTTCCTGGAACCGCGTCTCTAGCCGGTCCTCAAGCTTTCCTGCTCATCAAAGTCTCTGTCTTCTTGCGGTCAGGAAGGGTCCCAGTCGCATCAGGCGAGCCAACTCCAGTCCTCCTGCCGTGGGGGACAGGGGACCTTCCAAATGGTGGCGGGCACTTTGAAACAACTGGCCCTGCTCAGAATCCCGTCTGGAGGTCAGAAGGACAAGATCTAATAGTCTAGGGCAGGAAAATGGGACCTGGATCTTCTCGGTGGGAGTAGAGTCTTTACTACTCTCCTCCCACATCTAGCCCGCGGTCCCGAGGACAGCCTTTGCCCGGCAGCTTTCCGGCATACTTTCCAGACCTCTAGGCGGTTTAATCAGATTACGTCCACAGGTGCTGGGGGACCATGTGTGCGTCAGGAAGAGGGGTGCTGTCCTTGTTCTCCACATTGCCTCTGACCAACCACTCACAGGCTCTGGGAGATGCAAACACAGCCTATGTACGATCCGGGAGCACCCACGGCGGTGCGCATCTCCCGCCCCGCCCCGCCCCGCCGCTCTCACTCAACACAAGCTCGAGTAAACGCTCAAGCACGGGGCCGCGCGCCCCCGCACACCCAGCAACACCCTCCCTACACACACACACCAGCTCAACCAGGTAACCCCCACACACACCCCGAGGCGCCCTCCAGCCAGCCCCGGAACACCCCTGGTCTCCTTCTTGCTCGCCTGCGCGCACGCACGCGCACGCACGCACTCCCCGCGCCCCCGCAACGGGAGGGGGCGCAGGTCTCCGGAGGCGGGGAGCCAAGAGCAGAGTCGTGGGTCCATCCCGCGCTTGGCTTCCGCGCGGAAGCTCCGGGCTGGCCCTCGTTTCCAGATCCAGAACACTTGGCGCTGGAAACAATTTACTCCTCTTCCTCCTCCCGGAGACCCTTATACTTCCCCGCGCGCCATCTCCCGCTCCCAAGAACAGACCCGAAGAGTGAACCCCCAGTTGCGACCAGGAGCGGCTTCCCAACTCCGCGCCCGCAGCAGGCTGGAGGCTTGGAGGCTGGATTTCCGAGAGACTCCGGATTAGGGTCTGCTGTCAGTCCCTCCTCCTGGATCCCGCTAGCGTTGCCCGTTTTAAAAGAGGATTTTCTCATTACCTCTGAACACTTCCTTTTCACAAATTTTTTGAAAGAGGTCGATGGGCAAGATTTGGGAGGGAGACATTTAAACAGCAGCACCAAAACCTCCAGAGCATCAAGGGAGCATTTAGTAATTGCTCTTGGGTTGTGGAATCACCCTCTGGACCTGGGAGCGGGCGATCCAGAGGGGGAAGAGCGCAGGACAGGCGAGGCGCTCCAGCGGGAGCCACCTCCTTCCCGGCCGCCCCCTCCTCACTCCCTTGACACACTCGCTCGCTCGCTCGCTCTCCAGCGCGCCCCCCCTCCCCGCCGGACCCGCACCTCGGCGGGCGCCACACACTCGGCAGCCCGAGCCGCGGTAGCCGCAGCGGGATGGAGGCAGCAGGCACCGAGCGCCCCGCAGGCTGGCCCGGGGCGCCTCTCGCCCGGACGGGGCTGCTACTCTTGTCGACGTGGGTCCTGGCCGGCGCCGAGATCACTTGGGGCACGACGGGAGGTCCCGGGCGCCTGGTGTCTCCGGCTTCACGGCCACCAGCGATGCCTCCTCTCTTGCCACGGGCAGCGATGAACCGGTGGCCCGAGGAGCTGGCGACTGCACGGAGAGCCACCACGCTGAGGCGCAGGTCTCGGCTGGAGCTACTGCCCCAGGCGAGCGGCGGGGAGATACCGGCTGAAGCTGAGGGAACCTCGCCTGAAGACGTGAGGTGGGTTCGGGGCATCCCGGCTCCTAGCACGGCGGGCAGCTCGAGGAGGACTCGCCGGGCACAGCCCCCCAGTACACTGGAGCGCGGGGACGCTTGGGCTACTGCTCCCGCAGATGGTGCCAAAGGAAGCCGCCCTCAAACCAAGGGTTCCCGGGAAGAGGTGAAGGCGACGCGGACTGGAGGACCGGCGGCTGAGGAGCTCAGGCTGCCCAGCACGTCTTTTGCGCTGACTGGGGACTCGGCCCACAATCAAGCTATGGTGCACTGGTCGGGACACAACAGCAGCGTGAGTACCCCACCTAGCACAGATCTCTAGTTTCCTGACAGCCTTGGGTCATGGGGGTCGGGAGCGAGGGGCAGATAGTTGCTTCAGGTCCAGATGGAGAACCAGGCTGGCTAGACTTTTAGAGAGGGGTTTGTCCTGCCCCTTCACGCCCCCAACAGTTTCCAGAGTTTTGTTGTAAGATGGTGTGTGCATCTGTTTACTGAAGACCCTGGCTGGCACTGAGGCTGTCTGGAGGGCTAAGAGGAAAGTGTGCCTTAAAGCTGCCTGGGCTAGGGATCTGTGGTCGCTCTCTCCTGCATTCGGCTTGGAGAGTCACTTTTTCTTTTCTGGGGGGGGGGGGTGCTTGAATTCGTGGGTGCAAACAGGGACTGATGTGGAGGAATCTTTAGACGGATTCCTGAGACTGGTGGAGCTCCCCCTTGCCCCCCATCCCGGTCACGCTAAGAGAACCAGGGGAATAGGGAGACTGAGGCCACAGGGAAACCGACCCACTTGTTCATTTTGGGGGTAGCTGCCTGGCACATGATATGCTAGCCAGGCAGGGAGCTGGGCTGCCTTACCCAAGCTGGAAGGCTATCTGAGTGGGGGCAGGCAGGAAAAAAAAGTTTAAGAAGTGAAGCGAATTTCCACACCCTACCTACTGCTTGTGCTCATGCTTGTACTGCACACACCAGTGGGGCAGCAGAAGACTCACTTTCCCCTCTGTGTCCTGCAAACACAAACGTCTCTGGGGTCAGAGTTGAGCCCCTGCTCTTTCAGAGCACATCTCTGCCCCCTTTTCTTTGCCATCTGGGCCCCCGGGTTGTTGTTGCACCAAGAGGTGGCACCTTCCTTAAGCCTGCTCCGGCGGACTCTTTGGGGCTCAGGAATGGGGCGTCTAGCTGAGGAGGGTCCTCTCCAGGCAGCTGCAGCTGCGGGCAGCACCTGCTTTGACGGGTCTCTCTCCACCTCAGCAAGAACTGGCTGCCAAAAGCCTCCCCACTCTCTTTCCTCTTGTGGTGGCTATTTCACCTGGCCTTGCCAAATCGTTTTTCTGGTGTGGTTTTCCAGTTCAGTTGAGAACCAGACTTAGGGCAGAGCAGGGGTTCCATTAGGAGGACTAGGGATTCACAAGCAGCTCTGAGAGCTCATTTGATGGAAAGTACTGCCTCTTTTGTATATCTCTTCACGACAGGCTTTTGAAAAGACTTCCTGGGGGAAATGTTTGCCTTGTTCTACCAGAGTGTGGGGGCTATAGGGTTGAGTATAGAAGAACAGGGAAGCCAGGAGTCTGCAGAGCTAGGCACACAAGCAGTAACCAAGTACAGATTTCCTGGTTGTCAGTGATGCACAGTGGGGGTGGGGCTGGGGGCAGCAAAGCCTGAGTCAGGTGCTGGGTTCAAAGAAGAGTCCAGATACACAGGGCAGCTTGGTGACTAATGGCTTCATCTGCCTCCATCAAGACAGTCCACCCCCTCCCCCCGCCGCCCCTCAAGCCTTGGATTGGATGGCTTTGAGCGTGGGGCAGAGACTGGGCAATGGTGCACCTTTGCAGGGCTGTGTGACTGAAGACTTACTTCCAAGTTCCCTGGGGATGTTTGGGGTGGGGGAGGGGAGAAAGGGGGCGGGATTCCTTGGAAGCAGAGCTTGTGAATTCCGACTGCATTTAATTTAGATAGTTAGGAATTGTGGCGAGTGCTCTTGGTTTTCTCCTCCTTGAGAAGGTGATATCCTTGCATATGTGTGGCTTTATTACTAAATTCACTCAGCCAGGAGTGCTTCATCTCTGTTTTAATTTTAAGAGACATTTAAAAACATTGAAAAAGCCCCTGGAAATGGGACTTTTGGTAGAAAACACTTCTCGAAAATAATAGGTAAATGTGGATGGCCTTCTCTGCCCATCTTCAGGGTGGTTGAGCAGAAGGGATGTGAGGGATAGTCTGGATTGTGCCCACTGGGGAAATGCCTCCTCAATCCAGATAGGGCCTAAGGTGCTGGGTAGCAGACCAGCTGGGCATGGAGATTTGCCCCATCTATTAACCAGCTCCTGGGACTATTGGCTGTGCTGTTGGCCGGCTTCACTGCTCCAGCAAGTACAAGGCAGCTCATCCCCAGACAGAGAGGGACCGCTTACTTTGTCTCTAGACGGTACCTGCCTTTTGAGTACATATTGTCTGCAGCACCATGAAGGAAAGTGTCATTGTCAGACTGGGATGCTCTGTAAAGGGGTGAACTTTTTGGGAGCAGCCTCAGCAGGATGTTTTTTCTCCTCCCTTGCCAGAAGCAAGGAGAGAAGGTGAGGAGCGATGAGGACAGTGGAGAAACATCTGGAAGTCTTTTTACTATGGCTTTGAAGTGGAGGGAGATGCCACAAGCAGAGAATATGGGGCCTAGGAGCAGGATCTTCTGGCCAGGGAAGACAATTCCACCTTTAATTATGGCTTCTCAGTGTTAAACAGGCCCTTTGACCAGCAGCTTCAGCATTAGCAATTTGGGTTTTTCTGCTTTTCTCCCAGGTGCCTTTGGTGAGCTGCAACTCTTGACACAAATTTCTTTGGTGGTGGTGGTTGTTAGTCACTGAACTCTGAGCTCTACTCTGGTAGAGTTTACAGTCAGAAATATGTAGTTTGGCATCCTTAGCCCTACCCTCTTGGTTCAGCATGTACTTCAGGAGCATAGGGCCAAGAAGAGATCCTTGTATATAAGGACAATGCTGCCTTGTTCTTGCTGGAGCAGTGAAGCTGGCCAAGAGCACAGCCAATGGTCCCAGGAGCTGGTTAATAGATGGTGCAAACCTCCATGCTCAGTTGGTTACCCAGGACCTTTGGCCCCATTTTGATTGCTTAGGGGCAAATGCTTACTTTGTTACAATAGCTGGGGTGGGTTTGCTTGGGAGGCAATGGAGGAGGTGCTAGCAGGCAGACACAGAGAGAAGCAGGAGAGGGAGATGTTGTGGGGCCTGGCATTGATCACACTGACTTGGCTAGTGAGGTGAGTAGCCATGGCCTTGGAGTCTCTGCCCTGGAGGAGATTTGCAGTTGTTCTTGCTTGCTGCTTGTCTGCAGCTGGGATCCTGGTGATTAATGGGTTAGAAAGTGTTTCACAAACACCCGGGGGAACCCAGTCCCCATGGCTTACAGGGAAACAGAAAAACACATTATTCTGTCCTTTTCCTTCAAATGGAGGAAGAGGCTTCCTTGCTTGCTCAGTGAGTTGGCAAATGGCCCTGGAGAGTGTAGAGTTGTGAAGGCATAGCCCACTTATTTCTACCTCTTCCTTCTTGGATTAACCCTTGATTCTGTATACGCTCTTAGACGAGGCACCATTTCTTCTTGGCAGCTCACACAGAGAGACTTTGCAACCTGGTACCCAGTAGTGTGTCTGCTTGGGATGACTTGGCAGGTAGTTTTCAATTAATGTGCCCAACCTGAAACCTTAGTGAAGAGAAATGAGGAGATGCAGGGTCATTCTAGGTCCTTGCCAGACATGGAGCAAGTTAGAAGATATACAAAGAGGTGGGAAATTTTTACCCTTATCTAATGCAGTTAGCCTGTGCTCTAAAAAATATTTACTCCTAATGTGCAAAATAGTGACATATGTAATCAGATTCATTGTATTTCACTCACTAGAGCAGCTCACTGTGCTCCCAAACAGATTTTTCAAACGGCTTTTGGCTGGATTGCTTAGTCTTCAGCATCTCAGTGACACAATATCTTAATGCATTTTGCCTTCTCTGAGGCTTAATAAAGAAGCCTGATGCAGAAACCATTCTTCAGGGGTTTGCCAAAAAAAATCTGTTTTTAATTAATATTACAAGGAAAGGCATCTCAGTTGAGACAGAGCTGGGAAACACATGGGGACACAACAGCACTAATTGCTCTCGGTCACTGTCCGCCAGGAGTGGGGGTGCGGGGAGGAGGGGTGAACCAAGGCTGTTCGTCTGCTCCAAGAGCTCTCAGATGGCTGGGTTACTGGCTCTGATTTGCTTCTCAGGTCCTGTGGTAGTTTCCAAGGTGAGCAGAGAAGCAAATGCCTTCACCTGGGGCCTTATTTGGTGATGGCTGAAATGCAGTGTTTGGAACTTGCGTTTTGATTGGCAGGAAAGGAAAGTTGTTGAGTAGGGACTTCCCCAATTGTGTTAGGTTTAAGAGTAGGGGTTTGGGGGATCCAGTGGCAAGAAAGCTCTGGAAGCTCTTTTATTTTATTTTTTTTTCTCTAGCTGTATACTCTATTGTTACTAGGGGAAATCTGGGAGCAGAGATCTGTGGACCAGAGTCATCTCACAAGGAACAGAGAAGTATGACAGAGCCAGACACACAGACACACGGTCCATACCTGGAGGCTAGCAGTTTATTCAGGACTAGGTACAGATGGGCAAGTCATCTGAGGCCTGTGGCTACATCTACCTGCCCAACTTGCCCAACTGTAGATTTCCTGCTTTCTACCTTCCTTTAGCCTTTTGGGTGCTGAGAGACATTTCTCTTACAGGGAGAAAATGTGAAGCATGATTCAGTAGACAATTTGGGAGACAAGAGACCCTTTAGAAAAAGAAGTAGAAAATGTAAATATATCCTTCTCTCTCTCTCTCTCTCTCTCTCTCTCTCTCTCTCTCTCTCTCTCTCTCTCTCTCTCTCACACACACACACACACACACACACACACACACATGTACATGCACACAGAGAGCTGGACTGGCTCTGAGGCTTGAAGGGAATTTAGCTAAACATGATTATTCTGTGTGTTGGAGGCTGGCAACTGGACAGAACCTCATCTTCTTGATAAGCAGTGGATCAAGGGTACCTTGCCTCACTAGGTACTAAGTGATGGTTGGCTAAGTGGATGAATGAATGGTAGTTCCCACTTTCATGGAGCACAGTCTATAAACAAATTTGAAAGCACTGTCAGAGATATGATTTCCTAACTCAACAAACACTATACCCAGGAATCACTTTGTTTTGCACATCTCCATTCCAGTGTGAGCTTCTTGAATTCAAATCTAAAGTCCTGTGTTATGGCATTAA